CGACAAGTTTCGGTACTTTTTAAATATCGAAGTTCGGTACTGAAATTTCAATACCGCACAGCCCTAGGCGCAGCGGCACGACTGGGCGCTGCGCGGCCGTGCATGTGCAGCTCCAGGGCGGCACGAGGCGGGGTGCCGGTGTGTTAGTATGGGTTCAAACCAACTCAGCCCCCGCGTCCACATATCGCTCCGTGGTCCCCTACTCCCCATCTCTCCCTCTCTCTTTCTCTCCTATGTAGTACTTCCTCCCGGTGGTGTATGGCTGGAGGCCAAAGCGACTCGGGCCAAACATGGTCGCGGCAGTATAGGGGGGGAATTGCGAGTAGTGCAAAAGTGCAACAGTGCAAATTATGCTTCCTGGGCGTAGCAGCGCCGCCGGTTGGCGGGGCGCGCGGCGCGATGCTGTTGGTTTTATCTTTACGGCCTTCCTGTGCGCGCCGAGCCGCAGAGGCCAGAGCTCCGACCCCCGCCCCGCCCCGAACAAACCCACGACGACTTTTCTCGGCAAAACTTTGGCGGCAGCGCTGGGGGTACTGCGCCATATTACTTATTGCACCACGCCCAGCAGCAACAGCAAAGTGCCCTCATGTTCACCAGAGTTGCCACTGGCTCTCGAAGAAGACAGTGGCGTTACGTAGCTCACAATATTATAGACCGATTAATATTATTCACGCTCCCAGCAAATTTATTTAAGTTGTTAGAATAGGGGTTCCCTATGGTAAGATGGCCAGTTAGTTAACCCGCTCAGTACATGTTGTACCGCCTGCACGAGTGCGCACGGGTTGCCTACTCGCTCGGCTCGTAACGAGCCGTGGACAGGGGCGATAGGCAAGCCCGCGCCGCACTCGTGCGTGCGGTACAGCATAACTACAGAAGTGCGCGGGGTTTACTCAGCCACACCTGGTATAGCCTCATACGCCCGTTTTTTTTTCGGTTACGCCGTGAAGTAAAACTTAAAAAAAGAACAACGGGGCATAAAGAGACATCCCGAAGAATGCGAACAGAAAACTGTTAGTGGTTACAATAAAGCAACCGATAAAAGTCAGCTGTGGAAGCTAATGTTATTGTCCACTTTCTTATACTATCTAAGTAAGTGGCGTGTAGAGTAAAATGCGTTATACGTACGTTACTCGAGGGCGTGTATGTAGGTCACATTATTTCCCGATGGCCCTAACGGCCCGTCGTGCACTGCACGAGGCTGCACCTCCGCTGGCACGGAGCCCCGCTCCGCTCGTAACCCCGTGCCCTATCGGGGCCCAGCGGGGCTCGCCTCGCCGCGGCACTTACACCGCGTGGCCCTGGCCCCCCTGCGCATCCAGCCACCTGGGCGTGGTGAGCCGTGGTGAGTGGTGAGCCGTGGCGGCTGGGTGAGGCGCCGACCTGCAGAACGCAGTGCAATCTCCCGCCCCCTTGCCGCTTCTTTTTCACACGCACGTATACATTCCAACGAGAAGAAAAGCTAGCCCATTACATTTGCAAAGAAAAACGTTTTCTTCAAAAACATGCATTCACCAAAATGCTCAAACACTTAGCGTTGGTTGATGGTGCACTGTGATGGGACTATAGTTGCGCGACGTCAATTACTTTTGCCCGTGCGCCGTTCGAGTTTCGCGCGCAGAGTGCCATCTCTGCAATTGGCGCGCGCTCTCTACTGTTTACTGAGCCGCGGGATGCGTACGGACGAGACGAAACACGCCGCGCGGCGGGGCGCGTTCAAAGCGCGCGCCTTTGCATTTCGCTCGATTACTCGCACATCGCTCCCATTCATTAAGCAGCCGCTCGACTCGACTCTTCTTCAGCGCGGCATGTACACCTCGGAGTCCTGCTGTCGGCGCGCGCCTCCTTCTCGCCTCCCGCTG